GGGGGGCGGGGGCGGGGGGACCAGGTTGCCCTAATGGCTGCTCTGGAGGAAGACCCACTTTGCTCCTTGCCCTCAACATCTCTGGTGTCTGTCCAAGCAATCGCTTTTAGGCAGCTAGGTGTCTGGAGGGTGCTGGCTGCTCAGACGTGTTTTTAAACAGGCCATAATAGTTTCTACAGCTGTTAACAGTTCCTAGAAGAATGATAGCATTATTTTTTTGCATTTAAAATGTGCATGACTTACATTGCACAGAAGTCAGAGCGGGAGAATGTCAGAACATTTTCTTTGTTTCTGAAACATGGCCAGGAAAGTCTTCAGTAACTAGATAAATTCTTTGCAGTCCACGTGCTCCGCATTGTGCTGTTCTAATTGCTGAGAGTCACTATGAAAGTTGCCTTTGTATGTGTGAATGTACAATCTGTACTGTTTTGCTTATTTATTTATTCTGCATTCTTTATTGTAATGTGTATTCTTTTTCCCCATTCTAGACCAGAAATTGTTATTGAGCTCCTCACAAAGCTGAAATAATGCTGTGTGTTTAAAAAAATGTGAACAATTTGAAAAAGTTATGAAAATTTATAAGTTGGCTGTAGACTGAGGAAATTTCTGCATATTTTAATATAAATGGTAATGCAAATATTTGTTCTTTCCATTCAGAGGTACTTTGTTCTCCAAAAGTACAGAGATTTAATTATGCTTGTGCTAAAGCAAGAATAACTTCTTTCTTTTCTGCTTAAGGCACCGAAGTGACTACCCTTCAAAAAGGCATCGTTCTGAGATGGCTGTACGAAGAGGAACCGTGCCGTGCCGGCTGAGGGCAGTTCCCCAAGGAGCGTTAAGGTCACCGGGCACAGTCACCTTGGGGAAGCATTGCAAGGACCACTCCTGCTCCCTGGCCTGACAGGCCTGGCCTCGTCACAGGGAGGCCCCCTATACCCTGGAGGCAAGGGGGCCCCGCGCTGGGGGTGCCCACAAGGTGCCCCACCTGGCCCCTGCCTCCCCCGGAGCAAACCGTGGCGCCCTTCACTCCTCTCTGGCACAGGCAGGAGGAGTGACCGCACGGAAGGCACGGGGGGTGGGGGGCGGCAGAAACCCGAGGGGCAGAGCTCCGAGGCCCAAGAGAGTTCCCTTCCGACCCAAAGTCATCGGGACAGAGGCCGAGGCCGAAGCCCCTGGCGAAAAGCCAGAGAAGGGGAAGGAGCGAGGGGGACTCCACATCGCCATTTCAGCATCTTAACCCTTGAGCTGACGGAAGGCCAGGAAAGAGGAAGGTCCCATCCCCGCTTTTTATGGGAAAAGGTTTCCTCTGCATGGAACACCCGGGACGAAGAGAATTATTTTATTTTATTTTATTATTTTATTTATACAACGCTTCCTGTTGAAGAACTCTCAAGGCAGCTTACAGTAGGTTGATGACCGCTGCTTTTTGCTCCTCCCTTTCTCTTTTGGGGGCAGTATTGTTGCAGAACTACCCTCCTTTCGCCATGAATTGTGGCCGCGTAATTATTGTCCCAGCCGAAGGGCAGATCTGTGGGCATTTGCCTCACCCAGATGAAGGAATTCATCGTCTCTCCCTGCTCGGTCAATGATCTGGTGAATTGGAACTGGGGTGTTTTTTACGTGTGCAAACTTTAACGTGTTTGTAGCTTTGTTTCTCTAGGTGTCAGGTTCAGCCCAAAGAACTCCACGAGACAGTGCAAATACAGTTCTCTGCATTTATTAGCTTCCACCTCAAGACAGAAATCTCAGCAGACTGACCCAAATTCCCCAAGCCAGCCAGCCACAACACCGTGAATTCCTCAGGGAGGTGCCAGCCTCATCTTCTTGAACTTCTCACGCTCCTGCTGGGGCCTAAGGACACGCTTCTCTCCCTGGGCATGGCCTTCATAAGCCCATTCCATCACAGTAGGAGATGCCTCCCGTCACAGAATGCAACACCAGCGGATGTGCTTTGTTGCATTCTAATCTAATAAAATGGGGGGGAGGGAGGGGGGAGTTCCTGTTTCCCTGCATGTGGTGGGAGAATCCAGGACCCTGGATCAGGACCCAGGTCTGCAGAGAGGAGAGGCCTCTTTGGTTCCGGGAAGGCAACAGAGAGAATTGGGGAATCTTTGCTCCAGCTGCAAGAAATGCAGATGATCTACCAGCACTTGCCAACCTCTGCGCATGGAGCGAGACCATCGCGCATGAAGAGCATCATCACGAAGGGTACGTGGTAATACTGTGGTGGCTCATCTTCCTCTCTGGCTAGCCAACCTGGGTGGTTCTCCAAAGGATAACCAGGGAGATGCCTGGTTACTAGTTGACTGGGAGATCCCCAGGGAATCGTAGGCTGGATGGGGAGTTAAAAAAAATCACCCCGAAGGCCACAAAGGCAAACCATTTCCACACCAGGAGGTGAGCCTGATGCCAAGGAGACAATGTACTTATTTACTTTACTACATGCTGTTTTGTATATAAAGGCAAAATTAAATACAGTGGTACCTCGGGTCACGAACGCTTTTGTTCACAACCAATTCGGGTCACGAACAGCTCCGTTCACAAAATTTTGCTTCCATTCGCAAACGCCGGATCCGCGGCCATTTTCCCTCCCGTGACACGTGGTCATGGCTTCCTGTAGGGAGGGGGACTCTCCCTCCAAGCAATAACCGCCTCCCCACCTGCCTTCCTGTCCTCCACCCCACAAGACGTGTCGAGCAAGGGTTGCGGTCTCTCTCTTCGTACTGTATTTTGTTTCTTATTTTTTTGATTTATAAAA